AACCTGGACGTCCAAGCGTTAGTGAAGATCACAAACAGAACATTTTGATAAGTATGGTAGATAATCCTCATAATACTTCACGATTGGTTGCATTAAACAATGAAATTAGTCAGAACACAGTGCTACGTATCCTGAGGGAGGAAAAATATCATCCCTACAAAATTCAACTTGTGCAGGAACTCAATGAAGACGATCCCGACCGCCGCTTACACCTTTGTGAAATTATGATGGATTTATGTCAAGCAAATAGAGATTTACACCGGCAAATACTTTTTTCAGAGGAGGTCACGTTTTGTCTCAGTGGTACAGTGAACCATCAAACTTGCAGGTATTGGAGTCCGGAAAATCCTCATTGGATGGCAGAGACACATACCCAACACCCATAGAAATTAAATGTGTAGACAGGAATAGTTGACAACATAATAGTAGGGCCTTTCTTCTTTGAAGGAACCCTTACAGGAGAAAGATATTTAGAGTTTTTACCTTGATAAAATGACCTTGTTCCAGCGCTTGCAGTAATTTTTCCTAACGATAATGACCCTGATATTCCTGATGACACCATATGGTTTCAGCAAGACGGTGCACCTCCGCACTAGACGCGCCCTGTTCGAAATTTTCTGGACAATTGTTTTCCTAGGAGGTGGATCGGCAGACGAGGACCGATGGAATGGCCCGCAAGATCCCCAGATCTTACACCCCTGGACTATTTCTTACGGGGCATCTTAAAGTCCAAAGTGTACATTAATAGACCACATAATTTAGAAGAACTCCAAAATTGTATTATAGATGAAATACACAGAGTTACCCCAGAAATAATCAAAATGTGCAAGAAGAATATTTACACAGACTTGCGTATTGTCAAGAAGTCGGTGGGTGGCAATTCGGACACTTAATTTAGGTAGAAAACTTAATGAATTGTATTTGCTTGACATAGGAATTGTTATTTCTTTAATTAATAAAATTTAAGTTTTCTAACATTCAATCGCCATTTACTCGAAAACCTTCCTATGTAAAATGGGAACATTTAATACTGTCGGATCGACAATGAAACGATCTTTCAGAATCAAGAAAAAAAAATGTTGATGACGTCATTACTCGAAAATAAATGACGGGTTGAAAATCGCCTTTTATGCTAAAATATGTATTTTTTAAATTAAAAATCGACCTTCGAGAATTTTTCCCAAAAAAAATTGTTTCGTTTTTACTGAATTTATTCCATACTTTAAGCGCGTACTGTATATGCTGTATGTGAAGTCTTAATACTTATC